GAGAGAGTAAGTAGATTAGTGGCTGCCTGAGGCTAAAGTTGGGAACAGGGATTAACTGTAAATGGGCATGCTACAATAATAAAAATGTTCTAAAACTATACTATGTGATGGTGGTACAACTCAGTAACCTAAAATCACTGAAGTGTACACTTAAAAATAGGTAAATGTTTTATGTATATTATGCCTCAGTAAAGTTAATAAAAAACAAATAGGCATCTCCTTCTCTATAAAGATCCATGGAAGTCACTCACATGTGTGCCGATGTTGACCACCAAATGCTTTTCCACTTCAGGGCTAGCAAGGCAAAACCAGCAGGGTCCTGGAGGCTGAGCTTCATGTAAAAGAAAACCAGGTGTTACTATGGTCCAAGCACTACAGCATGTAATCACCCCACAGAACTCAGCCTTGTCTGATTTTTATAACGTAAAAAGACTGTTATACAACACTGCCTCATGGGCTGAGCCTGTGTTCCTCACTATGACCCACTATGAACATTTTCAATAAAATTAAACCTCCATTAGAATTTGTAACCAATCCATAGGAAGGTGACTCACAAGTGCAAAATCACACACTGATTAAAGTAGCACATAACTGGCAATAAGCTACAACAAAAGAACATTGAACTGGGTGTCAGGAACCCCAATTATAACCCGGCTATGCCATTAGCCATGACCCTGAAAAATTTACTCTCCCAAGGTCAGCTTCTTCTTTGAAACAAAAAGATGGAGAAAGAGAATCTCAATGAAACAGCCTTAAAGTCTTTCCTCCCAGTTTGATTATTCTATTATCTTATGAACCTACATTGGTTTTGGAGGCTCTTTACCTCATCATGTCTTGCAGACACGAAGAAAAGGTGCTTTTTCCACAGTTCTTACAGGAACTTATGGGAAGTTCCTCAGAACAGCTTCAAAGTCAGGCCATTTTTATTTTATTTTTTTTGAGAGAGAACCTTGCTCTGTCACCCAGGCTGGAGTGTGGTGCCATCTTGGCTCATTGCAACCTCCACCTCCTGAGTTCAAGTGACTCTCCTGCCTCAGCCTCCTGAGGAGCTGGGACTACAGGTGGTGTCACCATGCCTGGCTAATTTTTTGTATTTCTAGTAGAGACAGGGTTTCAACCATGTTGGCCAGGCTGGTCTCAAACTCCTGCTCAAGTGATCCAAAGTGCTGGGATTACAGTTAGTATGAACCAGTTTCCAGCACTATATCTAGATAAAAATTCATAAAGCTCTAGTTTCTGAATCTGACTCTATAAAAAGACTATCAACATTTTTAACCCAATATGGGTATATAAGCACAGAAGACTGCCTTTTTAGGACAAAGAAAATTGCTTTAAATGGCAATTAGCAAAAGAAACTCTTCACTCTCAAGTAGATGGGCTAAAAATACAGAGAAGTATATAAAAGCATCACCCGTGGAGAACCATACCTATTTATGAGAGGAAAAGAGGGAGCTATCTGGTAAAACTGGCTATTGCTATAACAAATGTTGACAAGGATGTGGAAAGGCAGAAACCTTCATACATTGCTGGTGGGAATAGCAGATTGTGCAGTCACAACAGCCAGCCAAGACCATGTTTGTATTTTATTTTTACTATTGGTCCTAATGACCTACTGCACAATTCTCTCCTGCCAGAAGAGGCTCTCTTAGCAATGCTGCTTTCCAAACAAAAGCCAAAATAATGGTTATTGTTCATAGAGGAGACCTCTAGAATAAAGGCACTTACGAGGTTTGCGAGGCTGCTTTGGGTGAGGAGATTTGCTATCTCGACCTGTGGATGAACGCTTCCTTCCCTGCTTTTCATTTAAATCAAAGAAAAATTGACAGGCTGATTCTTCCTGGATGGCCAAAAGCAAAAAAGTCAATGTTACTCAACTAACCTTTAGATAAGTAGCCAACCATTCACATACAAGGGAACATTCCTGCCATGCCATACCTATCTTTCCTCTCAGTCCTTTCTGCATATTCTAGGGAAGCAAATCCCAATTCTGATGCCTGAACTCTCAGTCATACATCAACACCAAATTCATCTTGTTGGAAAACAAGTTAAAATGCAAGTTATAAACTAATACTTGCCTAAAACTGAATAACATGGATCCACCTAAATTAGCTTTTCCTTTTTTCTCAACAGGGACATAGTGTAGTCCTACAATTTCACAGGTCAAACAAGCTTAATTCAGCCTTAATTAAGAGATGAGAAGGCTGCTCAGAAAGAAAGAAAAGCCTGAGAAAGCAGACCATGCATGCTAGTAAGGGAACTTGACATTCCTTGCTTTAGTGGGGAAAAAATTAATGAGAAAACTCTCTATTAAGAAAATTTCTTCGGAGTGCATCTTATTTTCCTATAAGTAATCATCATAAAATCACAAATTACATTGCTATGAAGCTGCTAGGTCCTTGCCTAAAGAGCTACGAACAGATAATCAACTTTAGACAAAGACTTTACAAATGAAACTGTAATCCCAAACCTATGAATCCAGTTTGGACAAAGAAAGACCCAATGTACGAAACTATTAACCCCAAACTACAATAAAAAACACTAGGCTTAGTTGAAATCTACTAAGATTTTTCTAAACACCATCATGATTTCCCCGGGGGTGGGGGGGAGGGAGAAAAGATTTAGATTCTAAGGGTTAAACTTGTCTTATGTACTAAACTATAACCAGGAAAATAACACATGTAACAGGCAACCTTGCCCAGAATATGCCAACCCTCAATCAGAACATACCACAGGGACAGGAATTTGCTTTCCTATGGATGCTTCCTGCCCAGATTTTCTGTAAGGGTTTTCAGTGACATCTGGAGGCTGTTTTACCAGTTCTGCTGCACCCATTAACTTCATGGGAACAATACTGAATGCATAAAGATACTTTAGAGAAAAAGAACATAACAACATTAGGGGAAATACTATTTACCCAAATGTAATCAACCTATTTTACTATGAAGGTTTCATAGAAAAATGTGAAACTCAGTAAAATTAAAACAGCAACCAGCCCATCCATAGCTCAGAGAATAAACAGTAAATCAAATGCCAATTCAGTGACCTCTGCATGGGCTCACCAAGGGCTAACAGAGAAATGAACAATAAATCAAAGCCCCAGCCCTCACAAATCAGGAGTTCTCACTCGGATAAAGGAATAGTGACAACTGTCACTACAAGGCCCAGAGAAACTTGCTCTATAAACCTTGAAGACAAACTGCTTCTGTCTCTGAGACCCTTATCTTTGTGTACTTTGTCAACAGAATTGTGGCACTGCCATTCTTTTTTCCTAATGAATATTACAAATGAACAACTTAGGGTTTCCTTTCTCTGATATTATACAAATTCTGCTATATATGCTAATAACATTTTCTTAAGAGACTGGCAGCAAAGAAGTAAATATTCATATAAACATCCGAATCTTGCACTAATGCCACAGACATGGAAAACTTTAGATAAGATATAAATAGATGTTAAACTTACTACTGATTAGGGAAATGCAACTAAGGAACAATTATATACTATATTTCATCTATCACATTGGCAAAAACTTTAATACAAATTTGACATGATCCAGGGAAAATATGGAGAGGTAAAAAACACTGCTGGTAGGGGTATAAAGTGGAACAAAATTTTTAGATAAATAATGCTTGCCAAATTTTAAAATGTGCACACCTTTTGACTGAAATGTAAATTGCTTATGGCTGAGGGTAACATGTCCCTGAAAATAAAACAACAGATGAAAATACTGAGTGTTATTCAGTTTGAAAGGGCAATTAAAAGAAAAATTACAAATCTAAACTTGCTAAGAATTGAGCAAAAAAGCTTCAAATAGGCTGGGGAATTCATGTGGAGGTCAAAGTGGAAGCCGGTGTGAGAAGGTCCAGCAGAAGAAAACATGGCTACCAAAGTGTTTGAGTCCATCAGCAAGTCTGGCCTGGCCTGGCCTGGCCTTAAGCTATTGCAGGTGGCGTGGTGAACTTTGCCTTATATAATGTGGATGCTGGGCAAAGAGCTATTATCTTTGAGCAATTCCGTGTAGTACAGTACTCATTCCGTGGGTACAGAAACCAATTATTTTTGTCTGCCGTACTCGATCACATAATGTACCAGTCAAGTCATCACTGGTAGCAAACATTTACAGCATCAACATCACACTGTCCATTGGTGCCCATCACTAGCCAGTTTCCTTGCATCTTGACCAGCACTGGGGAGGACTATGATGAGAATGTGCTGCTGTCTATCACTACCGAGATCCTCAAGTCAGTAGTAGCTTGTTTTGATGCGGCAGAACTAATCACCCAAAAAGAGCTGGTCTCCAGGCAGGTGAGCAACAACCTTAGGGAGCGAGCAGCCACCTTTGGGCTCATCCTGGATGATCGGTTCTTGACACATCTGACCTTTGGGAAGGAGTTCACAGAGGCAGTGGAAGCCAAACAGGTGGCTCAGCAGGAAGCACAGAGTGCCAGATTTGTGGTGGAAAAGGCTGAGCAGCAGAAAAAGGCGGCCATCATCTCTGCTGATGGTGACTCCAAGGCAGCCAAGCTGATCGCCAACTCACTGGCCACTGCAGGGATAATCTGATCAAGCTGCGCAAGTGGGAGCTGCGGAGGACATCGTGTACCAGCTGTCACACTCCGGGAACATCACCTCTCTGCCAGTGGGGTGGTTCGTGCTTCTCCAGCCGCCCCTGAGGGGCCACCCTGCCTGTACCTCAATGGGCCAATTGGGCCACAGTCCCAGTGATTCTTCACACTGTCTTCCTTCTGCCCCCACCCCAGAAATCACTGTGAAATGTCATGATTGGCTTAAAGTGAAGAAATAAAGGTAAAATCACTTCAGATCTGCCCCGCTAAAAAGAAAGCTTAAAATATTATGGACAAAACAAAATATCGCTTTGCTTTTCTTGTGTATGCATGTTGTCTATGGGATGTGATAGTGGAATAATCTTCAGACTATTTATCTGCCTATTTTCCCACTTCATTAATTGTTCTAATTTTAGCGGTCTCAATCCACAACAGGTTTGTTTTGGCTCTGGGAAATCAGAAATGCTCTCAAAGAAGTGGGAAAAACAACCTACTTTTCTGGTATGTTCTTTCATCAACTGCACTGTTTTCCAATGCAAAGATAGATTTCAGTTATCACTAAGATTTCCCTCAGCCAAGCAGGGCTTAGATAAGTCCTCTAGGTTTTTTGTTTTTTGTTTCCTGAGACAGAGTCTCCTTTTGTCACCCAGGCTGGAGTGCAGTGGCCCCATCTCGGCTCACTGAAGTCTCCGCCTCCCACATTCAAGCGATTCTCCTGCCTCAGCGTCCTGAGTAGCTAGGATTACAGGTGTCCCCCACCACACCTGGCCAATTTATTTTTTAATAGAGATCGGGTTTCACCATGTTGGCCAGGCTGGTCTTGAACTCCTGGCCTCAAGCGATCTGCCCACCTTAGCCTCCCAAAGTGCTGGGATTAGAGGCGTGGGCCACCATGCCCGGCTCTTTGGAGGTTTTTTAATTTCAACTAAATGAAGTTGCTAAAAGAAGCAAGCAAGCATCTGAGGGCAAATGCACAAATATCCATAGAGGCAACACAGATGTGGAAGTAAAGGAACACTGTTCATTTGATATTTTGCCTTTATTCCTCTGGGCCTATTTTCCCAAACCCTTCTTTAAACTCTCCTCAAAAAGATCCAGAGACTTGACCTTTTGTTACCATATCTTTACAAAGGAGTCACCAAAGCTGCTGAAACCTTGCAGTCAGAGAGAAGAGAAGATCTGAATGCTCAACTGGGCAAGAGAAACACTTATCAGGCAGGCCAGGAATATCAACCTTCCACCAAATAGGTAAATCTTTACCTTTTTCTTTTCTGGATTTCCAACATTTGCCAGAGCTATAAACCGGGTGGCATGCTGTGCATTTTCCTGTAGAACAATATGGTTTCTAGAAAATATTTGAGAGACAAAAAATTACTAACACTTTTACTTTTGATTTGCAATGACAAAATATGTGGACTCCATGGGGCCATGAAAAGAGCAAAGGTCCTCCTCAGTTCATCACCACAAGTCAAATGATTTCAGATAAGTTGCTATCTGTCTACCTAGTAGGGCAACAATCCCTACCTCACAAGGCTGTTTTAGGAAGAAATGTGATTATGTATTCAGAAAGCATCAAAACTCCAACTTTTGGCTTTAAAAGAATTGTAAAATTGGCAAAACGTTGATAACAACTGAAGCTAAGTGATGGGCACATGAGGGTTCATTTTACTACTGACTCTTCTTTGATGTAATAAAAAGCTAAAATAGGCCAGGCACTTTGGGAGGCTGGGGCAGGAGGACTGCTTGAGCCCAGGAGTTTGAGACCAGCCTGGGCAATATAGTGAGACTCTATCTCTACAAAAAAATTTTTTAATTAACTGGGCATGGTGGTGCACACCTATAGCCCCAGCTACTCAGGAGGATGAGGTAGGAGAATCACGTGAGCCCATGAGGCTGAGGCCACAGTGAGCCGTGATCATACCTCAGCACTCCAGCCTAGGCGATAGAATGAGATCTTGTCTCAAAAAAAAAAAAATGTGGTCCTTTGTGTCTGGCTTCATTCACTTAACATAAAGTTTTCAAGGTTCAACCACATCATAGCACATATCAGTACGTCATTGCTTTTCCTTGCCAAATAACATTTAATCATATAGATATACCACTTTTAATTTACCTATTTATCATGTGATGGACATTTGGGTTGTCTGCACTTTTGAGCTATTATGAATAATGCTGTTATGATGATTTATGTACAAGTTTTTGTGTGGACATGTGTTTTCACTTATCTTGGGACAGGAGTAAAACTGCCATTACCATGCTGATAACTCTTATGTTTAACCTTTCAAAAACTGCTAAACAGTTTTCCAAAGTGGCTGCACCATTTTACATTCTTACCAGCAATGTGTGAGGGTTCCAATTCCTCCACATCCTTGCCAACAGTTGTTACTATGTATTTTCCTTTTTGTCTATAGTCATCCTAGTGGGTATGAAGTACTATATCATTGTGATTTTGATTTGCATTACCATAATGGCTAATGATATGAGATATTTTTATATGCCTATTGGCCAATGTTATATGTTTTATGAAAAACTGTATTCAGATTCTTAATAACTGTATAGGTTTTGAGTAGCTTGTTCCCAAAATTTCTGTTTTTGCAGTATACTTTTAGAGAGTAAGAGATTTTTCTAGAATACATATATAGAGAGATTTAACAGAAAAACTTGTGTTTGGAAAACTCTGCCCCTACCGCGAAAGCTCTCTCTCTCTCTTTCCCTCCCCCACAAAGAGGCTCCCTTATCTCTCACTTTACATACCGGCCCTAGCCCTCCTGCCGCCCAGCTTCCCGCCCAGCAGTTCAAACTGACCAACAGTTGCCCACCACCTCGGCTTTCGGCTTCCCCACTCCCTCAGCCCTTCAGCCCCCTATAAAACAACCCTGCCCCTCTGAGCGGAGTGGCCATTTTTCCTTTTCGCCCTGACTTGCCCGCCCGGAGGCTCTTTTCTCTCAATAAAGCCTGAACTTAAGATTTTCTTCTAGCCTGCGGTCCGGTTTTTTCCGAACGAGCTCAGTCTTCCCGCAGAGGGTAGGTCGGTCAGTGGTGCTGAAACCCGGGACGGAAGGGGCCGTTGGCCCAGTCACGGCCCCCCTCCCCGACCTACCCAACACTGGCCCTGCCACCTCCACGCTCCGATTAAGGTAAGCCAAGTTTTTCTTGCTTTGCCTTCCCCCGCTTCCCGTCTCCTCTTCCTACGGCACGGTGCAGTTGCTCCCTCTCCGGCGTTCTGCACAGACTCCTTGCCTAGTCTCGGCCGAGCCAAGGTAGTCTTCCGTTCCAGCTCCAGGAGCCTTCCGAGGGACAGCCGCCAGATGGGGGACGCCCCCTCTGACCGCTTCCCTTTCCGTACTTAATTGTACTCCGGGGAATTTGCAACGAACGGGGACACCTTTTCGTTGCATCTGCCCATCCGCGCCGGAGGGTCTGTAGCTGTGCCTGCCATGGGAAATTCGGAGTCCAAAATACCTCTGAGCACCCCCGTTGGGTGCTTGCTGCGAAATTTTACCAAATTGGGATATTCCCAAACCCTCAGAAAGAAAAAGCTTATCTTCCTGTCTCAGGTGGCTTGGCCCCAATACAAACTCGGTAACCAGTCACATTGGCCCCTGACTGGCACTTTTGATTTCAACACCCTCCGAGATCTCGACGATTTTTGTCGCCGTGCAGGCAAGGACAATGAAATTCCTTACGTTCAGGCTTTTTGGGACCTCCGTACCCACCCCGACCTATGTTCTTCCTGCTCCACCTACCAAATCCTCTTAGCTCGTACCCCTCGTAAATCTTCCTCCACTACCTCTCCCCCTCCCTACTCCTCACCAGAGGATCTGCCTGAACATCTATCCTCTCCTGCCAATCTCAGCAACCAGTCGCCATCAACGGCATGCCCTTCCCCCACTCCCTCTGCACCTCCTACCTCAGAGGCCATGCCTCGCTCTCCCTCTACTCCCTCCGAGCCCCCTCCCTCAGAGGCCGCACTTCCTCTTGCCTCTCCGGTGGCGGCCCACACCCGCTCTCACCAGCCAGCTATCCTGGCCCCACTCCGAGAAGTAGCAGGCGCAGAAGGTTTAATCAGGGTCCATGTTCCTTTCTCACTCCAAGACCTGTCCCAAATTGAGAAACGTTTAGGATCCTTCTCAGCCGACCCGTCCACCTATATTAAGGAATTCCAATACCTCACTCAAGCCTACAGCCTCACTTGGCATGATATTCGCGTTATCTGTTCCTCCACCCTCACAGTGGAAGAGCACGAGCGCATCCTAGCGGCAGCCAGAAACCAAGCAGATAAAGACCATGCTATAGTTAACCAGATCCCCCTAGGCCCTGAAGCAATCCCAGGTGAAGACCCCCAATGGGACTATCAGGCTAATCGAGGGTCTGATATACCCAAGAGGGACCGCATGATTAGATACCTCCTCAGGGGAATGGATGCTGTATCTAACAAAGTTGTAAACTATGATAAACTGAGAGAAATCACCCAACTACCTGATGAGAACCCCGCCCTCTTTCTCGCCCGCTTGCAAGAAGCCCTAGTCCGGTATACTTGACTAGACCCAGCCTCCCAAAACGGGGCCACTGTATTAGCCTCCCATTTTATCTCCCAATCAGCACCCGACATAAGAAAGAAACTAAAGAAAGCAGAAGAGGGGCCAGAGACTCCCATCCAAGACCTGGTAAAAATGGCCTTTAAAGTATTCAATGCCAGGGAAGATGCGGCTGAGGCTGCCCGCCAAACTCGCATGAAGCAGAAGGCTGCCCTCCAGACCCAAGCCCTAGTGGCGGCTCTAAGGCCGGCAGGGAACCAGAAGCCCAAGGCCAAAACCCATGCCCCTCCAGGGGCATGTTTCAAATGTGGAAAGGAAGGACACTGGTCCTGAGCCTGTCCACAACCACGGCCACCAACTAAGCCTTGCCCTATCTGTCGGCTCCCGGGACACTGGAAGTCAGACTGCCCCAGCTTCCCCAGGGTGCCGGTTCCTCGAAACAGGCACACTGGCGTTACGCAGTCGGCGGTCACCCTCAGTAGGGAGGAGCCTGCTTGCCAGGAGCCAACCTCCGAGGGAGCTCCGTTCCCCAGTCTACTAGGGCTGCTAGATGACTAGTGGGGCCCTGGCTTACTGACTCCAGTTACCCTCGCCGAGCCAAGGGTCAAAATTCAGGTAGCGGGTAAAAGTGTCTCGTTCTTGCTCGACGCGGGGGCTACCTACTCCGCACTTCCTTCCTATTCTGGCCATCTCACTCCTTCCCAGGTCTCGGTCATGGGAATCGACGGGACCCCGAGTATCCCCTACCAAACCCCACCACTCATGTGCTCATATAACTCCACTCCATTCACCCACTCCTTTTTAGTAATCCCCACCTGCCCAGTTCCCCTTCTGGGGCGAGACATCCTTTCAAAGCTGAAGGCCGTCATAACCTTCCCCTCCGCCAACCCACACAGTCTCTTTCTCCTAGCCCTCACCTCAGACACTGAACCCCAAAAAGCCCTGTCAGAACTACTCCCCGGAGTCCACCCTCAGGTCTGGGACATTAACAACCCATCTGTAGCTACCCACCACCAGCCAGTTCAGGTCTGCCTTAAAGACTCCTTGCCTCATTTTCTCTGCCGCCCTCAATTTCCCATCTCTAAAGCCCACCGTATGGGTATCAGACCCATCATAGAGAAACTAAAAGGTCAAGGCCTCCTAATTCCCATTAACTCCCCATGTAATACCCCCATCCTCCCAGTACAAAAACCCTCAGGACAATATAGGCTAGTCCAGGACTTGCGCTTAGTCAATGAAGCTGTAATTCCCATACATCCAGTTGTCCCCAACCCATACACCACTGTCTCTAACATTCCCCCAGGGACCACCTGTTTCTCAGTCTTAGACCTAAAGGATGCCTTCTTCACTATACCTCTACACCCTAATTCCTACTTTATCTTTGCCTTCACTTGGGATGATCCCCTCACGAACATGTCCCAACAACTGGCCTGGACAGTCCTTCCACAGGGCTTCCGAGATAGCCCACACCTATTCGGCCAGGCACTCGCCTCTGACCTACTTCACTGCGACCTCAAGCCCTCTCACCTCCTCCAGTACATAGATGACCTTCTTATCTGCTCCCCCACCTGCCAGGAGTGCATCCAGGCCACCACCGCTCTACTCAATTTCCTAGGAGATAAGGGATACCGGGTGTCACCAACCAAAGCACAAATAGCCTCACCCACCGTCTCTACCTAGGTATACAGCTCACACCTGGGCGACGGTCTAT